CCGTTACCGTTACCGTACTACCCTACCGTACGTACCGTACGTTACGTACGTACTACGTACGTACTACGTACTACGTACTACGTACTACTACTACTACTACTACTCTCTCTCTCTCTCTCTCTCTCTCTCTCTCTCTCTCTCTCTCTCTCTCTCTCTCTCTCTCTCTCTCGCTATATATATATATATATAAAGATTTGCAATCAAGGTCGAACAACCGAGACCTGGTTACGCCCCGATACATTGATGCTCCTCTGGAAAATCCACTACTTTTCCTGATAATACAAACATAAATAGAGAGGTAAGGTAATGGAACAATGATTGAAACATAGACCCATGTTTGCTATATGGTTCACTGTCTTTTACCTTCTCAAATGAGCAACATATTCCTGCCTGCTCATGTTCTTCATTTCCTCAAGTTCCTCCTGATAGTTAGTCAGCTGCAGAGAGACAGAGAGTCAAACTAGATTTAGTTTTTCAAAAAATAGAATTTCTAGAAAAATAGGAGCCATGGGAATCATACAGCAAAGTTAATATGAGTTGAAGGACCCCAATACTTCAAGGCTGCCAAATCATAAGCCCTAGCAGCTTTCTCTTCCATGTCATAACCCCCTGTATCAAAATACAAGGAAGAAGATTAACAAATTTTGGGTCTTAAACTATTTTCCTTCTCTTAATTAGTTTTGATATTAATAACAATGTTTTGGTGAAAATAAACAAAAAAAACAATGATGTTCTTTGGTAAGTTCAGTTTAAGAATAACTTACCAAGATAAACTGCAGGTGTTTTGTCATTGGCATTTCAACAAATCAGAACATGAAAGATTAAACCAGTCAAAAGTTGAAGAAAGAGGAAACATAAGAAACAGAACAGCACCAGGAAGAGAGAGAAAGAGAAAGAGAGAGAATAGGAACTCAGACTGACCTTGTCTGCCTTTCCTAGTTTGCCCTTCCTTCTTGCAACTATTATCCCACAAATGCGCCTCATACCTGCCAGTCCATCTGTGCCTGAAGATATCACATTCCCCTAAAAATGATTATATAGAAACAATAAAATGCAGTATTGTAGAGAGAGAGTGAGAGATCAATATAGATCAAATTTCAAATGGAAACAAGAAAATGCAGTCTAGAGAGAGAGAGGTACTCATACTTACCTTGTAACACCCCTGTACTGAGAAGTCCTTTGCCCAAAAGTTTCAATGGACTTTCTATGAACAGGCTGCTTCTGAACCAGCTTCCCACCTGCTCTCTTTCTTGAGTCCATGGCCACCGAGCATTCGACCACTCCATTATTGGCCATCTGTTGGGGAGGGGCAGTTACACAACTTGACTGAGAACCAGGGCTCATCGATAGGCTCAATGACTGTAAATCTCCATACCCAATTGGATTCATAGTTGAACTCACACTTCCATTTCCATTTTCATCACCACCCATGTTCATCTTTTGATGATCCATTGGTGAAGCTGTAGTAAAATGCCTAACCCATGATTTCAAGCCTGATAACCCGTCTTCGGCCATGGTGGGAAGCTGTAAGCTACAGTTTTCTAATAATGGTGTTTCTTTTGCCTGCTCCTCTAATGGTGGGCTCTGATACATTACAGGCCCACCCATTGTTGAGCAAATGGCTCCCTGTAATGGCTGGAAAGATGGGTGATGGAACTGAACATTCCTCAAATGTTGCAGGTTCATGGCGTTCCTGGTGTTTTCATGGTGTGGGTTTTGCTGGAAATAGACATTGCTGTCTAAGCTCAGGGCCATGGATTCTCTATCATGACTATATTGTTGAGTTCCCATGAAATCTTCAAGTTTGGGTGAAGAAGATGGCACCATTCCTGTAGAGAGAGAAAATGCAAATCAGAAAACTCCCAATATAAAACTCAGCCCCAACTATTTACAATGAAACGAAGTTCTAGAGAGAAAATCCACATAGAAGACCACCGGCAAACAAGCTCAACAAATTACAACGGAAGCAAGTTCTAGAGAGGGAAACCAAACCAGAGAACGCCATAAACAAGCTCAGAACCGAGTATTCGACAATGGCGCTAAGTTTTGAGAAATAAAGCTCAAACTGGAGGTTAACTCTTTGACAATGAAACCAAGCTTTACAGAGAAAAAACAACCAAGTTTTACAGAGAGAAAACCCAAATCAGAGAACAATTAAAAACAAGCTTAGAACCAAATAATCACCATTATCCAAAGTTTTAGAGCGAGAAATACAAAAGAAGGTGAAAATCACAGCCTTGGAAATCAAAGTTTCAGAAAAGATAGTTGGGTTTGGACCTTCTGGATGTGATCTTGACAGGGCCTCCATGATGCAGAGAGAGCCATCAGATTTGAGAGGCATTGAAGACATTTGAGAGTAGTAACCCCCATGTTCAGCATCAACTCCATAGCAAATACCAGAGGGGTTAAGATGAGGGGAAAGAAAGAAACTGGTTGGAACTGTAGTTGCAGGCTGAGATTGATGAGCATCTGCTTGAACCTCTAATGGCAGTTGAGGGGAGAGAGAGAAACCAAGCCAGTTATTCATGGACTTCATCTTCTCTCTCTAAAACTTCTTTCTATTTTTTTTTATCTACCAAGAAACAAACTCAATCATTGCAAAACCCTTAAACTATCATTCCTTGAGTGTCTGTTGCTTCCATTTGGGACTGCTTCTCTCTTTGTTTTTAGCCAAGGAACTGATGAGGAAGATCTCAATACAAACACTTCTGATCTCTAGGACTTTGAACACTCCTTTTTCTATTTAATCTCTCTCTCTACTTTTTTTTTTTTGAAGGTTGTCTCCACACTCCTATCTATGCAAAATACCTGCAAAAAAGCTCTGTAAAAAGAACAACCATTTTTCTTTAAACTAAGCAAAAGGAATGAGTTTCAACAAAGAGCGCTGTGAAAAAACACTGTTACAGAGCTTTACAGTAGGAGAGTATTCCATAGGGATCTGTGAAATGTGAAGCACCCCAAGTTCTTGTGTCCCTTATTTTATTCAACAAGAGAGAGAGATATGTACCAAAAAGAGAGAGAGAGAGAGAGAGAGAGAGAGAATGGAGCTTAGGAGAAAAACCCACCTAAATAAAAGGTAAAATCACTCTTTCTCTCCTACTCCTCATGTGAAAGGGAAGGACCGAATCTCAAATGGCTCAAATGGGGGTTTGGGGTGTTCTTATTTGAGGAAATCCTCCCATTATTAAGAGCCAAAAAGAGTTGCCATTGAAGAGACATTACTTGTTCATGCTTCCATGCTATCTAGTGGGAGGGGTGGCAGATGGCTAAAACAGGTTGCTTTTTTTACAGTCTTAAGGGGCCATGGATAGATTGACAGGAGGAGGGCCAACTGGCTAACTAGTCACTTCACAACAGTACACTTTCTGTACTCCTCTGCAATTCTAAGGATCTAATTTAAACTTGCATTTTTTATTCATCTCCTTACACCACCATAACAATCAACAACAAAGAAAAAGGAGGGAATTTAGAGAGAGTGAGAGAGAGAGAGAAAGATATTAGAGTGATTTTATATTTTCTTTCTCTATTTGTGATTTTCTCTCTCTGTTAGTGTATAATTGTACCAATTAGTGTATAACTGTATCTAGAAAGAGAGGGAAATTTAAGAGAGAGAGAGAGTGCGTGTTTCAAGAGAGGGAAATGGGGGATCTGAAGAGAGATTTTTAAATTTCAATAAAGAAGGACTATTTGTCTCTTTCTCTCTGCAAGTGTACCTATATCTAGAGAGAGAGAGAAAGAGAGAGGGGATGGTCTTGAATAGTAAAATCTTCAAAGGGGTATTGGGTGTAGTCAACACCTGCTTCCAGACAAAAGGGGGAAGTGGGTCTCAGTGATAAACTTGAAATATTCCAGGAATGATGGGCAAGGGGGCCCCAAAACCATGAAAAAAGCTTTTATGAAGAGTTAATATAATTATTGTTCACCACAAAAGAAAATAAAAAAAAAAAAAATTTTAAAAAATTGATTTGTTTAAGAAAGTCTGGATTGAAAGGGTTTATATGGAGACCAGCATTTTCCCATTGTAGGAAGTGACATCTATACACACTGTCCCAATGTTTTCCTTTCTCTCTCTTCTTTTCCTTTCACAAACAGTTTATTTCTCTCTCCTGATTTCCCTCTCTTTTCTGATGCCCGTGATCGTTGGGTGGGGTTTTATTCTTTGGGAGTTTCTTTTTTATTTGCATGGCTATGAAATTTCATTCTTTTAGGGGGTTTTGGGGACAGATTTTCGGTTCGAATGATTTGGTTTGAAAAAAAAAGGGAGTTAGAGAGAGAAAGATGGGTTCTCGTACTGGACATCCCTTTTGATTATTGCAATCATCACTGAATCCACCACCTCCCTTCTCTTTACCAGAATTGCGACTCCCTTTCTCTCTCTACGATCTTGCGTTCCCTTTCTTTCATTTCAATCAACCCCTTTAATGGGAACCCAGTAAACACCACCACAAACACACCTTCTCTCTCTCTAAACGCTGCTTTCTCTCTATTATTCATAATGCCTTTGTTTTTCTTTGATCTCATTTAATGGAACTAATGGAAACACGACAGATGGATACGCACGAACACATGACATTTTCTCCTCTCTCGAGACTTTCTCGCTCCACTTTCACTTGGATTACTGTCCTTTAATGAAGGCACATGAACACGCTGGAAGACTCTCTCTCTAACTCTCTCTCTCTCTCTCTCTCTCTCTACTTACAATGTGAACACACGCGCAGAGCCTGTCTCTCTCTTCTCTCACTCGTTCTCGCTCTTCCATTCGACTTAGTATCCTTTGATAACACACACAAATCTACTCCCATTCAAATAGGAAACCACAATTAATCCTCTCTCTCTCTCTCTCTCTTTTCGTTTCATCAAGGTTATGGAAATGGGAATGGGGTTGAGGTGGTAGTGGTAGGCACCACTTGAATCCTCGGCTACCACGATCCGAAAATGTAAAAAAGAGAAATTCAATGGAAACTCGTTTTATCTCTCTCACGCATGTTTGAGAAATATTTTTATGTGAAAAAATTGTCTCTCACGGTTTGGTGTGGGAATATTTATACAAATTAAGAGAGAGTGGACTTAGGTGAACTGGTCAGGTGTGACGTCGACATAATAGAGCACATATAAGGATATGCGAGTTAGTTCAAGTGGAAGGATTGAAAATGACAAAGGGTATGCTTAAAAAGACGTGGTTACAAATAATCCAAAAAGATACGAAGATTTGTAGCCTTATGGAGAGTACGACCTTAAATAGAGTAAAATAGTGGACTAAAAATTCGTGTAGCTAATCCCAATTAATAAAATAATAATAATAATAATAACTATAAATCGTCAATGTACACAAATGAAAATATTCCCGAGGCAAAGAATTTTGAATGCAGACAAAGGTTTTCGAATGTACAAATAAAGAGTTTTTTTAATGCATATAAAGGCTTTCCAATTTGCAGAGCCAAACCAACACTCACACAATTGGCCGATGCACAAATACGGGATTTCAACACTGGCGCCTTTTTTTTAAAATTAATGAGAATTGCCCTTTCAAAATCGTTGCATGTGTACAATAGGGTCTCCTGACAACAAAATTTGAATTTGTATAAATTTTTTTCAAAACCTGTACTGCAGGTATGCCTTAGAAGTCCCTTCTCTTCCCAAAGTACGTGCGTCTGAGTTCATTTGCATGCAGTCATGGATGATATCAATGTCTTTCTTCATTAAAACCCGTAAATTTTATTAATGGGGTCCATATATTTCAATTTATACTTGACTTATGTTTTTAAATTTCTATATCGTACATCCTCAAAAAATTATTTAAGAATGTCTAAATGGCTATGGTTCACTGTTAGGAAGTCAGAATAATTAAGAGTACAATCATTTGGTTATTGCCTCCTTGGAAGTAAAATTATCAAAATATCTCTAATTATTTGGATGCCAACACTAAATAGGCAATTTAAAATTTTTTTAATATTTTTTCGAGGATGTACCTGATTGATATCGAAAGTTAAAAGCATACCTTCAAGTATAGTTTGTAATCTTTTGACCACTTTAATAATATTGTAAAGGGTTTCAACCCTATTTTTAATATATTTTCCCCTTGCTATGTATAAAATTTGGAATACGTGCCAATAGTGTTTTAAAGTCCAGTTATTCCTGATATAGATTGCTGATTCGAATGAGGAATTGGTTGGTACTGAATTGATTCCAAGATAGCTACGCCATGGCCATTTTCCCCTTTCTATGTATCAAAAATTGGAATAGGTGCCAATAGTGTTTTAAAGCCTAGCTATTCAGGATTTGGATCGCCAATTCAGATGAGAATTGGTCGGTACTAAACTGGTTCCAAGATAGCTATACGTCGGCCTATTTCCTCACTAAAACCTACCTCCTTTGTACATTTGTTCTTTCTTTCTTTTTTTGTTGTTTTAAGTTTACTAATATTTTCCTAGGTCATTCCCCACCTCATACACCACTATTTCACTATTTATTTTATTTTATTATTTTAATATTTTTATGGGTCAAGGATTCCGACCAATCTAGATCACCTATCCAATGATCCAACACAGATCTGTAAGGTGAACGATCCACCCCACCGATCCAAGTTTTGAGACACACAATGTGTGTCTGCTTTTTTGTCTCTTGAGCTTTGGGTTAGTGGTAGATATATCACTTTCGGTGAGGGAGGTCAAGAATTCGTACCCTTAAAGTTTATTGCCAAAAACAAATAAAAAAAACAAGACAATAAATTACATACCAATTGTGCTTTAAGCTTCGGATTAGTGGCATATATATCATGTTGGACGGTTGAGTTTAAGAGTTCAAATCTTTGAAGTTTGTCCCACAAAATCCAATCAAAGCTCACCAGCCCTTTTGTATTCCCCTCCTTTACCCCATCGAATCAATCACATTGATTGAATCCCCCACAACGATCAAGTTTTGTAGGCTCTCTCTATAAACCATATTCCTTGCAATTGGGATTTAGCTTTAGGCATCATTAGATGATGGTCCACACAGGCCAAAGCAAGTTGTAATTTTACCTTCTCTTATGATCCCCTCTACCGCCAAGGCACCAGCCCATTTTATGGTTAGTAGGTATTAATGTATGTCACATGGTAGAACAGAACGGCGGGTCAGGATTTGTATAGTAGATCTCAAATAGTTGAAAAAATACTTTGATGATGAAAATGGCGGACCAGCATGTTATTTCAACACTCTTCCAGAAAGAGTAAATGAACAATAAAAGAGAAGATGACATATTGGCATGCATCTTTCCTCTACTAGTCAAACATCAACAATTTTTCCATAGAAGCTAGCTGGGCAAATACCTAAACTTTTAGGGTTGGAAAATCTTAGACCTTTTGTTCAACTGCCGGTGGCTACAAAAATCTATCACTATATAGCAATTTATATAATGGAGAATTGAGAATTTACCTACAAAGTTGAACTTCTAATTAACTTGATCCGCTGCTTAGTTAGGCGAACAACCCGCATGTTCACTCGTCGCCTTTGGTACTTGAATAGGCCCACTGTTCGCTTTTATAGTAAGAATTGGTGTAATCTGTCTTGGAAATCAGTAAAAGAGATTGTGACCACCACACTGGTTCTTCTGTATTTAAGTCGACTAATCCTTCTATGCATTGTTTCCTCTTCCTTTGAACACTTGTATAACAATGGATCGAAGTGCACATCCTCTTGTAAAGAACTCTAGGAACTAAACTTTAAGGGGGTCAATTAGCCAACCATTTATCCAACTAAAAGCGTTTATCAACACGCCTAACAAGTATTCTACTCTTTCTTATGAACAATTTCCACACGTCTGTCTTTCCACAGTAGATGTGAGGGCATGCGCTTTACAAATCGTTGACATTAGCCCTCCCTTGTATTAGCTAGTACGCACTTTACTTCATAAATGTTGATGCTATATGGCATAATGGCAACACCATTTTGTTAAAGGAAAAATTTATAAATACCTTAGGCTTTAAACCATCAAATTAGAGCTCACGTCAAAAATTTCATTAGAAGAGGTTGTTTTGACACCCAAATATCCTCAAATTTTGACTATCTCGACATCAAGATGCATAGGCATCATAAAAAAATGGATTTCAAGTTTTGGAAATTGAATAAAATAAAAATTGGAGTTTATTTATTTATTATTTTTAATTAGGGATAAGAAGAGATAAGTGAACAGGGCTTAGTTGGGTGCGTGATTTGTTTTGGAAAGGCCTATCTTTTTATTTTATAAGGTAAAAATCTTTTGGTTTAGAAAATAATAAGCGGCAGTTATCTTTTATTATAATGTGGAAGTTAGAAAGAGAGAAAATAAGATGGTACGTGAGAGAGAGAAAATAAGGAGAGAGAGGTGATATGTGAGGAAAGAGAGAGAGAGAATAGGGAGATGAAAATAGAGAAATAAGGAGGGAAGGAAAAAACGTGAGAGAGAGTTTTTTTTAGCTATTT